TTTTTTTTTTTAATTTTTTTTTTCAACGTTTTTATTTATTTTTGGGACAGAGAGAGACAGAGCATGAACGGGGGAGGGGCAGAGAGAGAGGGAGACACAGAATCGGAAACAGGCTCCAGGCTCTGAGCCATCAGCCCAGAGCCCGACGCGGGGCTCGAACTCACGGACCGTGAGATCGTGACCTGGTTGAAGTCGGACGCTTAACCGACTGCGCCACCCAGGCGCCCCTGGAAGAGCTGGAATTTAAGCCTGGGTAAAGTGAATACAAAATTGGTACTCTTGTCACAATTCTGCCTTTCACAGTTTCCATAAGATTAACCTTTCTTTTTTAATGGTTATTTTTGAGACAGAGAGTGTGTGATAGAGAGAAAGAGAGAGAGAGAGATAGAGAGAGAGAGACCAAGTGTGAGTGGGGGAGGGCAGAGGGAGAGGGAAACACAGAATCAGAAGCAGGTTCCAGGCTCTGAGCTGTCAGCACAGAGTCGAACACGGGGTTCAAACCCATAAACTGTGAGATCATGACTTGAGCCGAAGTCGGACACTCAACCAACTGAGCCACCCAGGCTTCCTGAGATTAACCTTTCTTAATCTTAGAGGCTTGAAGATTCTCCACAAATATCTATTGGGGAAAAAAAAAGAAATGTATTAAAGATTCTTTTGTGATCTTGAGTCACTTTGTCTCCCCAAAGTGTCAGAGTTTTCTAAAGTTGATTTTAATGTCTTAGAACTCTATAAGAAAAACTAAAGTAAGACTAGCAGCTATCTTTTTTTGAAAAACCACCTTCCTATCCATCTAGTTTTGGAGTAACAGTCTTTTTATTAAAGGTGTCCTTGAGGGATAACTTTATTATCTTCCATTCCTAATACTTTGAAATAATAGTTAACATTTATTAAGCTGTTACTATTTTCCAGGCACTGTCTTAAGTTCTTTTATGTATTTAAAATTTTTTAGTCACCAGTATTGACTGTTCAAGTTGGGTACCATGATTATGTCCATTTTACGATGGGAAAAATATGCATAAAGAAGTTAAATAACTTGGGGCACCTGGATGGCTCAGTTGGTTAAGCGCCCAACTCTTGACTTTGTCTCAGGTCATGATGTCACGGTTCATGAGTTTGAGCCCTACATTGGACTCTGTGCTGACAGTGCGGAGCCTACTTGGGATTCTGTCTTCTTCTCTTTCTGTCCCTCCCCCACTTGCTATCTCTCTCTCAATCTAAATACAAATAAACTTTTAAAAAAAGCTAAGTAACTTCATCAAAGTTCCACAAATTTGTAAGTGACAATATGGGCAGTATGGGAATCATCTGGCTCCAGAGCTTGTGATCTTAACCATTATGCTAAAAGACCTCTCATATATAGCAAGATGACTCAAGTTCAGGTCATATGGATTGGGAGTTGATGACCTAAAAAGAGTGAGTCCGTAATTGCTTGTCTCTTCATTACTATATATTAGGTTGAAGTGTGAATTTGCCTTTTTTTTTGTAGTTTAAAAGTGGTCAAATATCAACAATTTAATATAGTCTAATTTCAATTTTATATAGTTGAATTAATGCTTCCCATTGTCTAACAGTTAGATTCTAACCTAAAACTTCTGTGTTTTGATCAGTACAATCACATTTTCTTTTAAACAAAAATAGACATTTTTGGTCAGCTCCCTCTGGAGAAAGGTCTCCAGATGTTTAAAGACTGTGGCAAAATTGTGCATCGTTCTTTTCTTTCTTCCCAGAGTAGCTTCCAGCTTCTTAAAATCTGACAAGAACCGGATAGGGAGCAGCTACAAGAAGACCATCTACAAGGAATACAGAGATAGCTCTTATGTGGATGAAATAGCCCAGCCTACTTGGCTGGGCTTCTTGGGGCCAGTGTTGCAGGCTGAGGTGGGAGATGTCATCCTTATCCACCTGAAGAATTTTGCCACTCGTCCTTACACAATCCACCCCCATGGTGTTTTCTATGAGAAGGACTCAGAAGGTAAATCAGACCACCCTTTCTTTCTCCTATCCACAACAAAGACTGCATTTCTTTTAGTGTCACTTTAGAGACAGGAGCTGGGAATGAAAATAATATTTAATCTCCTTATTGATCTGAATTGGCAGGGTAGATAATATGGAGATTCAATCTACCTTTTATCATAAAGAGTTACTTGAATAAGATTTTTTCAAAATTTTATTTAAATTATAGTTAGTTAAAATATGGTATAATATTGATTTCAGGAGTAGAATCTAGTGATTCATCACTTATATATAATACCCAGTGCTCATCAAAACAAGTGCCCTCCATAATATACATAAAATATTTGACTGTACTTTGGGAAGAGAAGAGTGTGCTTCAAATGTAATGGAGTGTTATTCTAGTGTCACAGTCTTCTCTTTTTTTTTGCATCCATATACCACATTTAATATAATTTACATATGTTTAATTTACTTATATACCACATTTAACATAATTTACATATGTTTAATTTACTTATATGTTGAGGTGGGTTTTACTTGACTAGTTAACATATTATATTTTGTAAGCATTTATAATCCTAATTTCATTATTTTACCTTAACATTTTGAACAACACATTCTTTCTTCTGAATCTTAAATAATTCCGTAAGCCCTTGAAAATCTTAGTGAGCATCAGGTACTGTGCCCATGGGTTTATTTATTTATTTATTTTTAATTTTAATTTATTTATTTAAATTCAAGTTAGTTAACATAGAGTGTAGTATTGGTTTCAGGAGTAGAACCCAGTTATTCATCACTTAAATATAACATCCAGTGTTCATCTCAGCACAGTGTCACAGTCTTCTGAAAGGTCTGGTTTTCTTCTTAAGAGGAAGTTCAGTTTACTAATCTGTAACCCCCATCCAATGGCCTATGATAATGACACAACAGTGAGTGAGGGAAGTAGAAGGGAATCAGGTTTTGACTGGGCCACTAACGTCCTGTATCACCTTGGGTAAGTTATTTTTCCACAGTTTTCTCCTCTGTAAAATGGGTAAGTGGACCAACTGATCATTAAGTTGGCTTCATTTAAAAAAGTAATTCTAATATAGTTAACATTCAATGTTATATTAGATTCAGATGTACAATATAGTGATTCAACACTTCTATACATCATCTGGTACTCATCACAAGTGCCCTCCTTAATCCCCATCACTTATTTAAGCCATCCCCCCAACCACCTTCCTTCTGATAATCATCAATTTGTTCTTTATAGTTATGAGTCTGTTTCTTGGTTTCTTCCCCCCTCCCCATTTTATTTCTTTTGCTTATATGTTTTCTTTCTTAAATTCCACATATGAGTGAAATCACATGGCATTTGTCTTTCTCTGACTGAATGATTTTGCTTAGCATAATACTCTATAGTTCTATTCATATCATTGCAAATGGCAAGATTTCATTCTTTTTATGGCTGAATAATACTCCATTGCATATATATCTATATATCAATATCTATATCTATATATCTATATCTATATCTATCTATCTATATTATAGATATAAGCAACAGAAATAAAACGGGGAGGGGGAAGAAACCAAGAAACAGACTCATAACTCTATCTATAGATATCTATATTATAGATAGATAGAGAGATAGATGGATATCATATCTTCTTTATCCATCCATCAATGGATGCACACCTGGGCTGCTTCCATGTCTTGACTATTGTAAGTAATGCTACTATAAACATAGGGGTGTATGTATCCCTTTGAATTAGTGTTTTTGCTCTACTCTAGAGCAAGGGGGTGGGTCCACACAGTGCTGGGTCCTTTAAGACTTCAAGTTTTGAATCCCAGCCATGTGCCAAAGAAAGCACACAGGAGAGCTGTGGTGCAGGGTAAGTTGACTGATATTGTTATTCTGTGATGGCTGCCTGAACAGTGCAGGGTGTAAGATCCCCTGTCTGGGAACAAGAGATTAGGGTGGTGCCATTTCCCCCCCCAACACCAACAGGATGGGACTTCAGAGCAGCACAGCAGCCCCCAGTGAAAGGACATATTTACACTAAACCCACCCCCCTGTGCTTGGCAACTGCATATTTACTAGAACAAGACTGACTTTAAGCCAGCACAGAATGTCTCTCCTCTAGAAGACCAGCATAGGCAGCACCCAACATGCACTAAATATACTGAAAATTGAGTGCTTCAAAATGACACCTGCAGTTCTGGTGGAAATAGGTCCAGGCTTATTTTTTTCCTGTTTTTTCTTTCTTCTTCTTCTTTTTTTCTTTCTTTCTTTCTTTTTTTTTTTTTTTTTTTT